GCCAGGGATTATACCTGCAGCCCAGGTACATGCCCTTGACTGGGGATTGAACCTGGGACCCTTTAGTACTCAGGCCATTGCTCTAACCACTGAGCAACACCAGCCAGGGCTTAAAGCTGCTTTTGAAGCCAATGCTCTGAGGAGGGGAGGTGACACAGGGCAGCACGGAGAACCAGGCTCTGTGGGCAGGAGGCCTCACCTGCCCGCTCCCGGCCCCACAGGCCAGGACGGGTGCATCATGCCCAGAGCACAGGGCTTTTCTGTGGCCTCCCTGTCATTGTCATCAGGCCCCCTCGCAGCCTGCTGCCCCCCAGGAAGACCGCACGCAGCTCTGAGCCTCTGAGTGGGTGCCGTGCCTGTCCGGGCATGCGGGTAGCTCAGTTCCCCCAGCGTCCTTGGTGGTGGTTTCTTCCTAGTCTCCTCAGAGAACACCCACCACCCAGCACACCCTTGTTTTGAACATGAAATGGGTGGAGCTGTGGCTTGTGGGCTGGCCAGTCACCTCTGCCCATTGGCCAGTGGACGGAGGCCGGAGGAACACCTGCCTGGGGTGGGAGGAGGCGCCAAACTGGGTCTTGGACCTGCAGGAGGCCGTGTACACGTGCCCACACCTACACCTACACGCAGCTTTCCACGTCTCGGCTTTTTTGGTGCCTGAGANCGGGGGGAGGCGCCAAACTGGGTCTTGGACCTGCAGGAGGCCATGTACACGTGCCCACACCTACACCTACACGCAGCTTTCCACGTCTCGGCTTTTTTGGTGCCTGAGAAATAATTGTTCCTTTGAGTGGTCAGTCACGGAGAACACCTTTTGTCTGAAGTCAGGGCACTGCCCGGCTCTCTTTTGGTCCCTGTTGTCCTGGCATGTCTTCCTCCGTCCTGTCATTGTGGCCTGTGTCTTTGTGTTTGAAGTGCGCTTCCTGCAGACGAGGAGCTGGGTCTTTATCCCGGACGGTGTCTTGCTTATGTGGAGTTTGGACCCTGGTGTTGAAAGTGACAACGATTAGTAGCTGCCACAAGTGTGTGTGTTTCCCACTCAGTCCTGGAGAAGCTGCAGGAACTGGGCTGACATGAGATGCCCCGTGGCTATCAAGGGATTGTGGAGGGAATTCAGTTCTTCTATCTCTAGCACGTTCCCCTGATGGAGTGCGAACTGTCCTTCCAAAAGTGTGGGAGACAGGAAATATGGCTCAAGTCAGGTACTTGATTTGGGGGCTCCCTGTGGGCCCTGCGAGGTTGAGCCATGTGAGCAGGGGCCTGGCCGTGGGGTGGGCTGAGGAGGTCTGGGTAACTGCGCTCTGCCCTGTGGCAGGCAGGACCCCGTGTCACTCAGGGCTTGTGGCTGCCGCAGAGGTGGCTCTGGGATGGTGCTGGGGGCTCACGGGCCCTGCGAGGAAGCAGCACCTTCCAGCTGGGACTCCGCTTCCTTTTCCACCCTCCACTCCACTTCCCGAAGCCGCCCACTTGGTGTCGAGGGAGAAGGTCCCTCCCTTGCCCAGGGCGGACCTGTGGTCAGGAGTGTGCTGACTCGGGGACTCATACATGCTCGAGAGGCTGCGGCCGCCTCCCTCCTGCTCTCCCTTCCTGGGGAGCCTGAGGACGTGCTGCAGCCCCAGGCAGATCGGCTCCCAGACGGGACTCCTGGCCCGACAGGCCTGAGAGCTGCAGAGTCAGCGCAGGGCTTGTCGTAAACAGGCACCTGGCAGCTGGAGACAGGGGCCCCATGCGCCTCCCGGGGACTCCTCCCAGCCTCCCTGTGTCTCCTCCCAGCCTCCTGCCCCCTTGGCTGCCCCTCCAACCTGGCCATGCCACAGGGCGGCTCTCACTCCAGGCTCCACCCCACCCGGACAGGGCCCCCTGCTCCCCGGCAGGCTGTGGCTGCCACCCCCACCCCCCCACAGAAACTGTGCATCTTCTATTGAAATAATTCCGGCCAAGGTTGCATGGTCAGATTTTCTGTCACTCAGTTCTCTTCTTCACTTTGGATAGTCACTTATTTTAAAGGAAGAGCGAGTTAGTTGTACGTTTTAAAAGAAACGTAATATACAGGTGAACAGTGACACTTTTCCACAATTCCATCCTTATGTCGTAAAGGAGGGTTTAATTGGTGGGGGTGTGTATGTGTGTTTGTCTGCACCTTCACACACACACACACACACATTACATTGTACGTATATGTTACGTTGTATATGTTACATTGTGTGTATGTGTTACATTGTGTGTATATGTTACATTGTGTGTATATGTTACATTGTATGTACTTTTAAACAGAGTAGGATCGTGCTGTGTGGAGAGTTTATATTCTATCACGAGCACGTTAGACAACAGATGTTCTTAAATCCAGTCCCCTGCTCTGTCGAGTACTGTGTCTCAGCCTTGTTTCTGTCCCTACACCTTTTCCCTCACCTGTCCCCTGTGGTGTGTTTCAGCACTGGTGCCCCTGTGGGGGNTACCTTTTCCCTCGCCTGTCCCCTCACCTGTCCCCTGTGGTGTGTTTCAGCACTGGTGCCCCTGTGGGGGCAGCGTTTGTCACAGAATTTGTCTGTTTGGAGAGTGGAGGCATATCAGCCTGTGCCCACCTCAGAGCACGGCCCCCAGTCACTCAGAATTAACAAACACCAACCCCACAGAGCCCGATGTGCTCCAAGGGCGAACGCAGCACCCACCTGGCACGTCACAGGCTCCCTGCGGCCACAGCGGCCCTTGCCTCCTCGCGCCTTATTTCTCATCTCAGCCCACGGAAGATCTCTTCCTTTCCGTCTCTTCCTTAATTTCCTCTGTGGAGGTCAGACTCCTTTACCTGTCGACTCTATGATGCCAGCCACCAGGCTCAGCATCACCTGCAGTGTCTCCCTCCACACAGCCAGGTCCTCAGGAGACAACCCTCGAGGTGGCATCTTTATCTTGCTGGTACAGATGGGAAACTGAGACTCAGGAGTGTCAAAGCTGGGGCCGAACCAGACCTGGGGGACCCCAAGCCAGTTGCCACCTCCAGCTGCAGGTGCCAGCAAGGAGGTGGTGAGGGGCACAACTCATTCCTGATATTACCCCCTTTGCCCCTTTGGCTTCGGGTTGTTTTTGCTGAAGGGTCAACAGGCTGAGGAAGGAGGGGGCAGTGTGCTTGCTGCCACTTCTAAATGACACAAGTCATTAAAACAACAGAAGCACATGGCCCAGAGCCAGTGTGGCCCCGGGGATGGAGTCGTGTGTCTCCCCCCCCATCTGCCTGCCCTCAGGTGCAGGCTTCTGCACCTCTGTTTCTTTAACTGTAAAAGGAAAGAGGTTCGGCCTGAACTTCTTTTCAGTTTTCTGTTTTTTAACATTCTTAAGATTTCATTACTAACACGATTCAATCAATTTTGTATTAAACTGGGGAACAAGCTACAATTACTTTAACAAAAAAAAGTTATGCAATGGATTTTTCTTATACATTTTCCCTACTTGTTAACTGAAATCAAATGACAAAAAATGGTGGAACTTTTTGGATGTGCAATGCTCCCCCACACCCCGAAATCCAGCGCTCCTGCCTCCTCCTGCAGGGCTGGTATGCGGACCAAGCGTTGCTGATTTGTTTACGGCCACCCACCAGGGCAGCAGGATGGGGGTGAGCCAACCCAGCCCATCTCTTTCTCCTGACATGCCCTGCTGGCCCCCGCAACCTGCTTTTATATTGAGGTTGTGGCACTGTTGCTGATTTTTATTTTAAAACATGGGAAGGTAACAGCAGCCCCGTAAACCACCTATTCCCTCTTGGGCTCCTGCTCCCGATTCTGCCGAGCACCCGGCTCTCCATCTTCTTGTGTGAGGGGACCTGGGAGTTCATGATGAGCTTCGGGCCATTGTCCTCACAGACCCTGTCCCCAGAGGCATATCTGCAGGAAGCACCTGCCCTGGGTCCTCATTGCCAGTTACCTGGACGGGTGCCCCTGGCTCCATCTGTGAGTCAGCACATGGGGGGGCTTGTTTTCATTTTCAGAGGCCACTGACCCTTTGCTGTAGCGCAGACAGAGGCGTCTGGGGTCAGTGACCGCATGGCTGGTCCACGCTCAGCATTAGCACTGGCTTCTCTCCTGGGCTGTCGGTGGCACCTTAGGTGAGGCCCCAGCCTGTGTCCCCCTCACACGCTACCTCGGGATACCTCTCAGCTCTGGGTGTGCAGGGCGTCAAGGACCCGCTTCCCCGCTAGCCCACGTGACCGGCGGCCGGCCTGCACATGCGTCCACCTGCTCACGTGCAGGCTCCCGGCCGGAGGCTTCTGCTGACAGCCCGACAGGTGGGAGCTGTAAGTGTAAAACCTCGGTGCGTGCGGGGTGCTAACGGCCCTCCTGTCTGCCCTCTCGCCCTAGAACGCGCTGGTGGTCGAGATACCGCCGTTCCGCAACCCGCGGATCAGCAGCCCCGTCCAGGTCAGCTTCTACGTCTGCAACGGCAAGAGGAAGCGGAGCCAGTACCAGCCCTTCACCTACCTGCCTGCCAATGGTAACACTATCTTTCTAACCTTGCGCGCTGCGAACGAGCCGGTGGGGTGCTTTTTCTAAGAGCGGAAGTGCTGAGCTGCTGTCCCTGCAGAACGTGGTCACATTGTATCTTTAAGCTGCGTTACTCTCCTGTTAGCAAGACTATGTTGCCAATTCCTTAAAAAAAAAAAAAGAAAAAGAAAAGTGAACCTTCCGTGTATTTTCCTTTATTGCTTTTGGGGGCGGGAGCAGCGTATTGGGGTAATTACCGATCTTTTTTTCCGGCTGCTTGCAAATATGGCACAGCCGGGGGGGAAGAAAGTGCGGCTCTCCTCGACTCCGAGCTGAGCAGCCTCGTGTGCGGTTAAATTCTATAGATGTTTAAGGTGGGAAGCAAACAGCTATAATTATTTTGCAGGTGCCCTTAGAAGTAAACCCTTGCTATTCAGCCTAAAGGCTGCCGCCTGACGTGGTGATTAAATAACATTGATGTTTCTGTACTCCTGTTAAAATGCCACAGACGTTGTTCCTTGAATAATTGCATCGTCCTGTGACCATGAGGCTTTCAGCCCCAAGCACCTCTCACTCAGCCACAGGACTCTCGTTCAGAGGGTTGGTCTGCACATTTTGAGGATGGCTTCCTATCACTTAAAAAAAAAAAAAAATCAGTTTACTTGTTGACTTTTTAGGGTGTTTTCTTAAAGAAGATGCCATTGTCTGTGTTTCCACCCCCGGCCTAGTAGAAAGTAAGGGTGTGTGCAGAGCCTCCGCCCGCGCCGTGGCCGTCACCCGGCAGCCAGGGCGTGTGTTCACAGAGCGCGGCACATGCTGTCCTGGGTTTAATTGTGTTTTGTGGAAGCTCAGCTGTGCAAACAATCTTTTTAAACCGTAGCCTTTGTTCTAAAACACAAGAGGAGGGAAATTATCCTCCAAAAACTAATTGGAAAAGCAGCCGTGGTGTTACCTTAGTGAAATGAAGACTTAGTTAAGGTTTACGGTCTCTCTAAATGTAAAAATGTCATTGACAGTCGACTAGATCATGGAAGGCTCTCGAATATCGGTGTTGATATCAAACCGTTGGAATGATCTGTTCTTGAGGCAAATATGATCCGTGCCTTTGGAGGTTTGAAAAATGAGATTTTGCTGTAAAACTGCCATAGCGTGAGCGTGTACGTGGTGGCGACTGGGTGCCTGTGAGCAGCTTGTGGAGCAGGGTCGGCAGAGGGGTTTGTTCTCGATTCTGTGGCCCCCTGGGCGCTGTAGTGTGTATGGCACGCACGTCATGAATCCTCTCCATTCTGGAATAAGCTACAATATCTCTTAAAATACTTAGTCTTTTTGTGAAAATGTAATGATTATGTGCTAATTAAACATCAAGCATGGTTGACCAAATATTGAATGTTTGAAAGCAAACCTCAGCCTTATAAAGAAATAGTTCTTTGTAAGGCAGTTTAGAAGGTAGCTCTACAGTCCTGCTCACAAGTGCCGAGCATCACACTCGACTCGTGTCAGAGGGAAGGAGCCTGTGGGTGATGTGTACACCTTCTTCCAGGTGGGGACCGAGGCCCCTGAGGGACACATAACTGAGATCACAGGGTGCTGCAGGGCAGTCTGTGTGCCACCCTGGGTCACCCACCTGCAACACCCATGCAGTCCTGCAGCCTCACCCCCACAGAGCTCAGAGCTGCCTCTGCCCCCACAACCATGACCCCACTCTCCACATCTGCCCCAGGTCCTCCAGCACCTTCATCACCGTGCTTTCAATGACATCTCACCTGGACCCCTCTCCCTCCAGTTGGTGCCTCACCTTTAACCGCAGAGCCCTAGTCCATCCCATTAGCAGGGACCCGTCTGGCTCTCTAAGGCCCGGGCTCCCCAGCCTTTCTGGAGGTGTGAGCCCTGTTTTCATCAGGTCCTCATCTCCTTTCATCATTCATCTCTGAAATGTGCTCCAAGTCCACGAAGCTGGAGGGGCCCAAGCTGCCCCAGACTTCCCTGCCTTCCTGGGGTGGGTTCCCGAGCCCTGTGGGGTTGTGGTCGCTCCTCACACCACTAGCCTGTGAGCTCCCCGAGAGCAGGGACCTCTGCCTGCATCTGACTCCGTGCTTGATTGTGGGCTGTCCTTGTGTGGTTTCTAAGATAAATAAATGAACGAATGATAAACTAGAGCTCAAGGAGCAGTTTCGGTTTGATGTTTTCCTCCCCATGCGTTGCCGCCGCCTCAGCTTCGGGGCCGAGTCTACTCAGCGCGCTAGCAAGTGGGAGTGGGCACGGGGCCCGCGTGCCAGCCCCTGCGCCTTGCGTCCCAGGCATCCGCTTCGACTGCCTCCCCACAATTGCACTAGGCCAGCGCCCCCGTCACCGAGAGCGATTGCCGCCCCGAGGCCCTAAGACCCCTGGCCTGCAGGTGGGCCCTGCAGGTGGGCCAGGCATGGCGTTAATCAGGAGGTGCATGTGGTTTTAAGGTACTTTGGCTTGTGTTCTCCCGTAGACCTCAGGTGTGGGGGCCACGGCCACGTGGCCATGGCAGGACCTGTCTCAGGTTGCTGTCTTGCTTACGTAGAAGGCAGACTCTTCAAGCTCACAAAATGTGCTGTTGAAATGTACAAGACAATGGAGATAAATCCATTTAAATCCCACCCCTGAAATTCATTTTCACATGCAAATGTGTGAGGCTGAGTCTCATTTTAGGTTTTCCCTCTAAATTGGGTGGGAATAGGGGGTCCCGTGGCTTCACTGCTCTTGGCTCCAGGACGGGCCTCGGAGGGGCCTGGCTCTCACACAGAAGCGCCCACAGGCAGGTGGGCCCCGAGGTGCTTCTGGTGTTGGAAGTGAAGCGGGAAAGTGTTTGCCCTCGGCAGGGGGCTGGAAGGGCCACACCTTTCTCACCTTCTGGTCCCCTTCCCCATCTCTTATCTCAGCTCTAACATCACCTGTTGATGACAGCAGATAAACGTACAGACCGCAGCTCCAGGGGTGACGCCCACATCGACCCCCCACCCGTCACGGCCAGAGGGCAGAGGCCTTGGTTGGGTGGGTCGTCTGGCTGCTGGCCTGGTGGGCCCAGGACAGTCAGCTCCCTGCCCTCTCTGGGGGACTGAGTGTTGGGGAAAAGCTTCAGGTGGATATAGGGTGATGAAGAGTCACAGCTAATAGGAAACCCCTCGTACCCACCTGCCCACCCCTGGGGTAGCAATCTGGGTGGAACAGAAGGATATTTGGTACAACTCTAGAAGAGCCTGCTGGTGCTCACCCACACAGCTGGAGGCTTCCTCAGGGTCCTCACCTGTCCCAGCTTCTGTTTAACGGGTGTAAACGCCGTCTCTGAGAGGAAGCTGCCCTGTCCATCCAGTCAGGCCATGTGCCCGAGGGCCCTGGTGCTGTCACCGGACAGAGAAGCTGCCAGGAGGAGCTGCGGTTCTGAGAGCTGCTCCACTCTATCAGATGCGGGGTCGGCAGGGCCTGACCTGCGGGAACGTGGGGGCCGTGAAGGTCCACGGCCGCTGTGGCTCCCTCGGCTCACCTACCAGATGGCTGTTCCCCCGGCTGCTGGGGATAAGCAGGGCAGGGGCGGGAGCTCATGTGATGAAAAGAATTCCAAGTTGGGACCTCAGAATTGCGTGAAATGAGAAAAATAAATCACGACGAATTATTGGGTCTTGGAGAGTTTGTCTGAGATGTTTAGTTGGTTTGTCAGAAATGCCTGTGATGGCACATGGACACCCTTCCACTGCTGCTCGTGGCCCTGTGGGTGAGGGTACTGCAGCTTCCCCAGGGTTATCAGGGTTTCTGGTGGCCAGGACTCCCCGCCTGGGGACCGGCTTGTCCTCCACAGACACAGTCCAGAGGCCATGTGGTGATCACCACGCAGCATTTTGTCCCCAACAACCTCTCAGGACTATGGGGAGACACTGCTTCGACCCCTGGGGACGGCCACCAACCAGGGACAAAGGAGCCCCAGGATGGCCCTGCCCGGTGGGGAGGAGGGTTTTTGGGCAATGTCAGCAAGCTGGAGAGGGACCTCCACCGAGACGAGGGGCCCTCAGCTGCCCTGCTCATCGCTAGTGGGACCCCCGCTAGGTCAAGAATCTTCACGAGATGATGCCCCTGGTGAAATACGTCCCCACCTCCAGAGGGAGAGAGGGAAGCAGATGGTGTTCTTGTTTGTGTTACTGAGTTCAGAAGTCTGAATGGAGCGAGGACAGGCAATCGGGGGCAGAACCAGGTGCGACACAGGTCATCCCAACGTGGCCCGAGTGGCGGGCAGGTCTATGCACATCCCAGAACCGTGGCTGCCGACGTGAGGGCCCAGCTCCAGCCCTCAGGGGCTCTTGGTCTAATGCTTGCCGGGTGTCCCTAGCCCTCAGGGTGGCCAGTGTGTGTTGCTGGAACCTTGGACATGCCCGCCTTCCATCGGCCCGGCGACCTCGGCCTCACAGCAAGCTCCTGGTCTACCTTTCCCACCAAACATTTTGGCTTCTTTTCCCCCCAAGTTTGTTGCATTAAAGTTTAAACCCAAAGTAATTACCGCCATGGACTCATTGTACATTCTAACATTGACTTCAGGTGACCACTCGTCTTCTGTGAGAGGCGTGGCTGGCTAAACCTGAGCTTCGGGCCTCTCTTCTTCTGCCCGAAGTCCCTCGGCCCCTCTCTCCTGGGCTTCGCCTGGGCCTCAGTCATAAATGTCCCTCGTTTTATAGACAAAGAAATGAGCCTCTGGGAGCTTGAGCCGTTGGCCCTGGACAAGCCACTGGCCCACTGTGGGGCGTGAGGCGTGAGGCGTCTGACCCCAAGGCCAGTCCTTCCCAGACCTGCAAGGCTTGTGTGTCCCTCCTGCCAGGGACTATTTTCACCTGAGTCTGACAGGAGTGGGAGGCACAAGGGGGCCCAGCCATGGTCCACGCTGGCTCCCGAGCCGGGGACCCTCATCGAAGAACACCAGCCAGCTTTCCAATAAGGCAGATTGGCCGACGTTTCTGACCCACGCTGTCCACCCTGGGAACTTCTTCTGAATGCAGA